AAGCAATAAAATAAAAAAACGCACCTAAAATCAACAATCAAATTAGAAATCGATCATCACAAAATAGGATAAGAATTCACATGAAAGATATGATTAGAAAACCATTTAATACTATAAAATAAGTTTTGTTTAATTTTCGGTAGAATAATTGTTTCTATGGCCATAATATTATGTAGCCCCTAGCATAAACGAAAAATAAAATAAAATCTCAGAATAAGAATTAATCATAAAGTGATATTGGTTTCTTTGAATATTTTTCACAACCACAAGCAGTCATATATAATTATAATAATAAGAAAGGAAATTATAACTATTTTACTGAAGGACACTGTTACTCCCAGATTTACATTTGTCACCCCACTGGTCCAAAGAGATTGATTTCACACCTTTAGGGCTAACCAGCACGACACAGATTTATTTTATTTCTACACTTCATCATTCATTCTTGCACCCCATTTGGGCCAAGCCCATGAATTTTACACAATCCACATATTTTCAGCAAGCCCAACAGCCGTTCGTGACACTAGAATTCATGACCATTCTTCTACTCAGTTTCAGCAGAGAGCAACGAAAATCAGCGGAAGCACGGAACAAAGAACAAATCCAGAAGAAGATTCGACAGGGCATTGCAAAGGTAATTCTTCTATTCACTGTCATTGGAACTTTCACTGAGAGAGATGAATTAGGTAGTCAATAGTTTCGTATTGCTCTCTATAATTTTGCGATGTGTGGCTATTAAGAAAGAAACAAACAAGTAAATAATTAAGGAAAACAGTGAGGGCTAGGGATTAGCTCCGTTTATTGCTTGGTGACGGTAGGGGTGACGTCGCCGGTACCGTGGTAACGACTCGCCGACGGTGGAAGGTCTCGGCGGGAGAGGGAGGCGGACGTTGCCGGTAGCATTATAATAGTTTGTTTCTGATATAATTAATTTTTTAGAATGCTAATCGTGATTACTAGCATGATCCCAAATGCCCAAGGCGCCAAGCTGTAAGGTAAAAGATTGATATGGTTAACTTTAATTTATGATAAGTTTAGTTTTGTTTATGGGTAAATTTTATTTAAAATAAATTATGTATTTTAAATTGTCACTCAAATAAAAAAAAAAGTTATAAATAAATAAAAGAAAAGGTTTCCTTCTATTGGTACATGTTTAGATTGAGCATAGTGAGAATGAGCTTGAATAAGGTTGCGAAGAACAGAATGCATGCCGAAGTCGTAAAGTAGAGAAAGATTCTTAATGAATTATTGAAATTTCTTATTCTACCTGTGTTTATTTCAAATGAGAAAATCTGTCCTCTTTCTGTGTAATAAAAAACCCTCGCGTGAACGTTTGTTTGTTCCTACGGTCTTCTTCAGTCAATCGGAACCTACCCCAATCCATTCCTTTGGCCTTATGCAGGGAAGAAGATGCAGTAGGGTTGTGTGTTGGTGCTTGTGTGTTTAGAGAGCCACAAAGCCAAAGACCTACTTCATCAGGTCAGCTTCCTTCCACTTCTACTTCATTTCCTATAGAGTCTGCTTTCCATCTTCTTCAATGTCAACATAGTCATTTCAACAATTAGAGAACGATTGAACGTGCTGTAGTTAAGTTTTTACGTTTTATTCCGTATCATCCTATCTTCTTTTTAGCACTATGTGGGGGAAGAAAAGCTATTACTGCATTTGTTTTTTCATTTGAAAATGAAATCATATTTCTATGTTTTCTTTGACTAACCTTTTTGAGTGTAATAGTACTACACTAGTGCTGATTTTGATAGCTGATTGTTTTTTTTTTTCATTCTAAACCAAAAACTGTTTCATGGCATGTTGTATGATATTAAATGAAGTGGAGGTCCTTTGAGGAACAAATCAGAGATGGTTCTTCTTAAAGACATTGTGCCTGCAGCTCAGAACAACATAGAGACTAAGTTTATAGTTTTGGAGAAAGGCAGCACAACGCTAGAAGGGAAGAATAGGATATGTTTGACTCTTGTAGCTGATGAGACAGCGGCAGTTCATCTTCAGCTTTGGGGAGATGAATGCGATGCTTTTGATTCAGGCGATATAATTCATTTGACCAAAGGAATTTTTTCCTACCAGCATGGTAATCTTATACTCAGGGCAGGCAAGAGAGGGAAGCTAGAGAAGATTGGAGAGTTTACCATGTCCTATGTTGAGGTACCAAACATGAGTGAGATTCATTGGATTCCTGACCCAAGTAATTCTAAAAATTATATCCAGGACTACATAATATCTCCCCAGTCACGCATCTTCCCTTCAATTCCATAGAGGGATGTGCTCTTATACTTGCCACAATTTTTTTCAGATTATGATTTTCAACATATTTTAGATAAAAAAATATAGCTTTTATTTAAGTACTTCTGTTTATTATGATAGGAGGACAACCTTCTTTTTTCTATTTATTTTATCATTTGGTGGGTGATGTGATGGAAGACATTTTTTAGATGAAAAATTGCTGACAACTGCATCAAAAGGATGTTTTCAAGTGTTTTCCTAAAGGTGATCCTGATCTGGTTCAAAGAGCGTTTCCGTGGTTTCAATTTCAGCCAGTATCAAAGTGACGTTTTAAGAATTTATTCAAATAGTTTTAGGCATCTTCATTCATTTATGATTTTTTTTGTTTAATTTTAATTGAGAACTTAGCATTGTCATTCACTTTTATAGTATGATTCAATTTCTTATAATCGTTATAAATGGATGCATTTTCATTTTAAATTGTTTAACTCATTTAGATTTTCTTTATTTTAATAGACTGTAGGTTAATTACGTTTTCATTATTTTTGCTTCAATTTATTTATCATTTTTTTTTCTAGTTATTTAAATTTTCATTATTTTGTTTCAATTTATTTATCCCTCTTTTATTTTATAATTATTAATTTATTGTCAAACAAACCTCTTTTATATACAATTGTTTAGAGATATGTTTAGTAATAGGTATATTTTTATAATTGTGTCATTGTGAGATTCCACACGAAATAGATATATTACATTAAGATTAATTAATTGGTTAAATCTTGATCAATATTTTGTACAACAAAATGTTATTTTCAAACCGTGTCGTTGTGGGGGACACAATTGTGTTGCGTCACATGGTCTAAAATCATTATCTTTTTCTCTTTGAATTTGTTTTAATAAAATAAAACAAAAAATAAAACAAAAAACATATAATATATTGTTTTGTTACGTGATAGCCTCAAACCATTCTTGCATAAACTTTTGGGCACAGTTTGGTAGAGTGGCAGTGCATGTCTTTTCAGTAACTAAAATGATAGTTTATTTGAGATTTAAAGTATGAACTCAGTTTGTAGCTCTAACATAAGATTTTACAAAGAAAAATATTCAAAATGTAGTACAAAATTTACCAATATTGTTATCATGAATATTGGTGACTAGCTAATTTTCCCCACCATGATGCACCTTACTAGAAGCAATTTGCTGAAGTCATTAAAATAATAGAATGAAATAATGAATTCAAAATTTATTTGAAACTAGTGAGTTTAAAGGTGCCCCACTTAATAATTGTTATAGTAGACCAATAGATTATAATAAGCTCTCTCAGGTGAAACTGTTATACAAAGGAAATGGACCAAATTATAATAAATAAATAAAATACAACGGTGAGCTATATCAGAATATTATCCCATATTTTCTTCTTTCTTTCCTCTGCTGCCCAAGTGGCCTTGCATTTAAGTGTGCCTCTTTGTACACGTAAGCTCCAGATTAATATAACATACTCGGGTTGTGCTGAAAGCCTTCAAGTAAAAGTTAAAATAAGATTACATCACTACATTCCTGGCTATTGTAGAAGTTGGTTGATGATATTTACTAGAAGAAAAATGAAATGCATGGAGAGAAATTCAAAGTTGAAACCCAGAAATCGCATTCATGACCAGCACGACATCAGTGTAATCATCATTCATGTGGGATTTCCCAGCTTTGTACTTCAAAAAAAGCCTTGTCGCGCCTATGACCTCGCTCTATGTCCATCTTGTACGGGACAGATTACTAGACACATTCCCAATAAAAAGATCATATTTACAAAGACTCGGTTAAAATGTGGTCTGATCTACAAGACCAAGCATATGTAATAATGCTTCCATTTTTTCATTGCAATGTCAAAAGACAAATGACTGTACATATACATACATTAAAGATGCTAGGTAAAAGAAAGGAGGGGAATGAGGGGGGAAAATGGACATGGATCTCTGGCAAATTTCTATTATGTACAGATTATATACAATATTTACTACTTCCTCGTGATTTACCAGAAAGGACACCACCTGAAACAAGTAGAGAAATCAGAAATTTAGAAGTCATAATGTGAAGAAGACATAAAGGTTTATAATCTATAGCAAACCAACTATTTTAAAAGCTTAAGCGGTTAGGTAATTACACATGGTTTCATATCACAATTCTAACTTGCCTTCACACACAAGAGCCTAATAATTTATAGAAAATTTCTAAGTTAAGAGACCATACCCTACATAATTTTGGCACAGATTTTCATGTGAGGAAGCTTGGATAATTAACTTTTGAACTTGCAACTTAACAGATAAAGCATGATCAACTTCCCGAGTGTCTCCAGAAATTAAGCTACTATGGTCTGCGGCATGCTGAAGGGAGTTGTTTGACACTGAAGAACAAGTTGAAAAATCCCGGCCAGTAAGCTTATTACTCATGCGAGCCATGACAACCACAGCACGCTCGTTCAGAACCTCATTGGCATCACCAAGCTGGTTAACAGCCTATATGCAAAGGTATATAAAATGAGCATCATTAATCAAAAAGCAAGCAACAAAATAATACAGTATGAAGATACCTGTAAAAGTTCCCTTTCACGGGCACCACGCTGAGGGTGGGGAAGCTCTCTATTTGGAGCAGATTCCTCAGTATTTACAACAGGAGGTGCATGATTGCTAGTAAGCATAGACATTTGTGGAACTTCATTGAAATTAAAAAGACGCCAATTTATGAGAGGATCGTGTACAAAGGCCTGAATACCGGAAAAAGAAATAATCCATTATTTATTATAAAAATTCTCAACAAGCAAACATAACATTGTGAAAAGTTAATGTTGTAATTAAAGGAAAATCTTCCTAATTAGAGAAAATATCCATAAAATCTTCCTAATTAGAAAAAATATTTGTAGGATCTTTTAGATTATTTTTTCCTTATTTCCCGTTTTTAGAATATTATATTGTTACAAATAAAGGTAAGGAAAATGTAATAGAAATGAATGATAATAATAAATTCATTCTCTTTTCAAGATGGTACCAGAGCTCCCGATTGGGAGCTGTGTTTCCGCTGCAACAATAGCCACCACCACCATTGTTTACTATCCTATCATTTATAACTATTGATTGCGTTCCAAGGGATGTTTAAGGTAAAAATTATTCCTTTGGGTCCTAGTGATCTTCCAAATGGGGTGGGTGCAAATCGGTTGGATGGTCAAAATTTCTTACAATGGANATTTTTAAAAAAGTTTCATTGTCGTCCTCACGTGGTGTAAAAGTTTCATTGTCGTCCTCACGTGGTGTAAAAGTGTCAATTGAATCCAAACATAGAAAAAATTTGTGTCAAAGTAGTCATTTTTCCTATATCTCTGTGTCTTCCTTTCATACAATCAAGTACAGATATTCATTTTACCTTATCCAATTTAAGGCTTTTCATAGCTCCAGAGAAGTGACATATGAAAGGAAGACACAGATATATAGGAAAAATGACTACTTTGACACAAATTTTTTCTATGTTTGGATTCAATTGACACTTTTATACCACGTGAGGACGACAATGAAACTTTTTTAAAAATGAGGATGAATTTGACACAATTCAACCAAACTGGGGACAAAGGAAGCAATTAAACCAAAAAAAAAATCTTATTTTATATTATTTTATTTAGTAAAAATCAAACATCTACTTACTCCACTTAGTTTCTTTCTTTAGTGCTTTATGTATCTTCCTCGTATCTTTATCAAATCGTTTAAAGTATGTTTAATAAACCCACAAAAACAAACAAAGGGGAAGAAAAAAAAAAGAAAAATGTAGTGATATATTAATATATATTTTTATAATATTTTGATATAATATGTCATGTTTTTAATGAGTTCGTTAATATAATAATAAATTAATAAAAAAATACAAGTGTATTATATTAAAATATTGTAAAAAAAATTAAGTAAATTTTTATATATAATATGACATGTTATCGAAACTATCAATCCATTTAATAGTTTCGTAAGCTCTCAATATCAAATTAAAGAGACTACCATTCAAAAATAGACGACTAAGAGAAAACATTAATGATATAACAAATATTTGGACACATAAATATTTTAATCGTGTTTGGAGACAACAATTGCGTTTATCATATTTTTCTCGGGACAACAGAAACAAGTTCAAATCTCAACCTCCCACCACACGTTTATCCTCTGTACTTCAAATTTGTACTATTTCCTTTAATTTGAAGGAGATTATGTTTTTTGACACTGACAACCTTTTTGTGACAAAAATACTGTAATTAAAAAATAATTTTTTTTAATTGTTGAAAAACAAAAAATAAAATAAAGGCTTAATACCCTATTTTGTCCCCAGTTTCGTTTGAAAATGTCAAATTAATCCATCTTTAAAAAATATGTCAATTACGTCCTCGCTTAATAAAATTTGCATCAATTCTTCCGTTAAATCCGTACAAACGGCGTTAATTATTTTTCTCTTTCTTTAGTTAATGCCATTTGTACGGATTTAACGGAAGAGATTTTGCAAATTTTATTAAGTAAGGACGTAATTGACGCATTTTTTAAAGGATGAACTAATTTGATATTTTCGAGCGAAACTGAGGACAAAATAAGGTATTAAGTCTAAAATAAAATAACGAGTGTAAAGTGATTAGAAAAAAAAACAATGGGATACCATTTAATAATTTTGTAAAAAAGAGAATGCACTTTATGGTGATTCTGTAACGACTATAACATATTTTTCCTTCCCTCGTACTTATAGAAAGATATATTGTGATTTTGATGAATAGTTGTAATGATTTCTAGAGAGAATTGAAAGAGTCTTTTATCCAATGTTTTTAAGCTCCCCTTAGCCTAATATTAAGTTAAGGTTATAAATTCTTTAATTATTTCATAAATTAGAAAAGTATTATTTCGTTTTAATAAAGAAAATTTATTTAAAAAAACCAAAACATAAATCGATGAGATAAAATACTTTTTAAAAATATTAAAGTTTAAAAATTAAAAAATATAAATAATAATAATAAATAATAGAAAAAAGTAATGAAAAAAATACAAAACAAAAGCAATAAAATAAAAAAACGCACCTAAAATCAACAATCAAATTAGAAATCGATCATCACAAAATAGGATAAGAATTCACATGAAAGATATGATTAGAAAACCATTTAATACTATAAAATAAGTTTTGTTTAATTTTCGGTAGAATAATTGTTTCTATGGCCATAATATTATGTAGCCCCTAGCATAAACGAAAAATAAAATAAAATCTCAGAATAAGAATTAATCATAAAGTGATATTGGTTTCTTTGAATATTTTTCACAACCACAAGCAGTCATATATAATTATAATAATAAGAAAGGAAATTATAACTATTTTACTGAAGGACACTGTTACTCCCAGATTTACATTTGTCACCCCACTGGTCCAAAGAGATTGATTTCACACCTTTAGGGCTAACCAGCACGACACAGATTTATTTTATTTCTACACTTCATCATTCATTCTTGCACCCCATTTGGGCCAAGCCCATGAATTTTACACAATCCACATATTTTCAGCAAGCCCAACAGCCGTTCGTGACACCAGAATTCAGGACCATTCTTCTACTCAGTTTCAGCAGAGAGCAACGAAAATCAGCGGAAGCACGGAACAAAGAACAAATCCAGAAGAAGATTCGACAGGGCATTGCAAAGGTAATTCTTCTATTCACTGTCATTGGAACTTTCACTGAGAGAGATGAATTAGGTAGTCAATAGTTTCGTATTGCTCTCTATAATTTTGCGATGTGTGGCTATTAAGAAAGAAACAAACAAGTAAATAATTAAGGAAAACAGTGAGGGCTAGGGATTAGCTCCGTTTATTGCTTGGTGACGGTAGGGGTGACGTCGCCGGTACCGTGGTAACGACTCGCCGACGGTGGAAGGTCTCGGCGGGAGAGGGAGGCGGACGTTGCCGGTAGCATTATAATAGTTTGTTTCTGATATAATTAATTTTTTAGAATGCTAATCGTGATTACTAGCATGATCCCAAATGCCCAAGGCGCCAAGCTGTAAGGTAAAAGATTGATATGGTTAACTTTAATTTATGATAAGTTTAGTTTTGTTTATGGGTAAATTTTATTTAAAATAAATTATGTATTTTAAATTGTCACTCAAATAAAAAAAAAAGTTATAAATAAATAAAAGAAAAGGTTTCCTTCTATTGGTACATGTTTAGATTGAGCATAGTGAGAATGAGCTTGAATAAGGTTGCGAAGAACAGAATGCATGCCGAAGTCGTAAAGTAGAGAAAGATTCTTAATGAATTATTGAAATTTCTTATTCTACCTGTGTTTATTTCAAATGAGAAAATCTGTCCTCTTTCTGTGTAATAAAAAACCCTCGCGTGAACGTTTGTTTGTTCCTACGGTCTTCTTCAGTCAATCGGAACCTACCCCAATCCATTCCTTTGGCCTTATGCAGGGAAGAAGATGCAGTAGGGTTGTGTGTTGGTGCTTGTGTGTTTAGAGAGCCACAAAGCCAAAGACCTACTTCATCAGGTCAGCTTCCTTCCACTTCTACTTCATTTCCTATAGAGTCTGCTTTCCATCTTCTTCAATGTCAACATAGTCATTTCAACAATTAGAGAACGATTGAACGTGCTGTAGTTAAGTTTTTACGTTTTATTCCGTATCATCCTATCTTCTTTTTAGCACTATGTGGGGGAAGAAAAGCTATTACTGCATTTGTTTTTTCATTTGAAAATGAAATCATATTTCTATGTTTTCTTTGACTAACCTTTTTGAGTGTAATAGTACTACACTAGTGCTGATTTTGATAGCTGATTGTTTTTTTTTTTCATTCTAAACCAAAAACTGTTTCATGGCATGTTGTATGATATTAAATGAAGTGGAGGTCCTTTGAGGAACAAATCAGAGATGGTTCTTCTTAAAGACATTGTGCCTGCAGCTCAGAACAACATAGAGACTAAGTTTATAGTTTTGGAGAAAGGCAGCACAACGCTAGAAGGGAAGAATAGGATATGTTTGACTCTTGTAGCTGATGAGACAGCGGCAGTTCATCTTCAGCTTTGGGGAGATGAATGCGATGCTTTTGATTCAGGCGATATAATTCATTTGACCAAAGGAATTTTTTCCTACCAGCATGGTAATCTTATACTCAGGGCAGGCAAGAGAGGGAAGCTAGAGAAGATTGGAGAGTTTACCATGTCCTATGTTGAGGTACCAAACATGAGTGAGATTCATTGGATTCCTGACCCAAGTAATTCTAAAAATTATATCCAGGACTACATAATATCTCCCCAGTCACGCATCTTCCCTTCAATTCCATAGAGGGATGTGCTCTTATACTTGCCACAATTTTTTTCAGATTATGATTTTCAACATATTTTAGATAAAAAAATATAGCTTTTATTTAAGTACTTCTGTTTATTATGATAGGAGGACAACCTTCTTTTTTCTATTTATTTTATCATTTGGTGGGTGATGTGATGGAAGACATTTTTTAGATGAAAAATTGCTGACAACTGCATCAAAAGGATGTTTTCAAGTGTTTTCCTAAAGGTGATCCTGATCTGGTTCAAAGAGCGTTTCCGTGGTTTCAATTTCAGCCAGTATCAAAGTGACGTTTTAAGAATTTATTCAAATAGTTTTAGGCATCTTCATTCATTTATGATTTTTTTTGTTTAATTTTAATTGAGAACTTAGCATTGTCATTCACTTTTATAGTATGATTCAATTTCTTATAATCGTTATAAATGGATGCATTTTCATTTTAAATTGTTTAACTCATTTAGATTTTCTTTATTTTAATAGACTGTAGGTTAATTACGTTTTCATTATTTTTGCTTCAATTTATTTATCATTTTTTTTTCTAGTTATTTAAATTTTCATTATTTTGTTTCAATTTATTTATCCCTCTTCTATTTTATAATTATTAATTTATTGTCAAACAAACCTCTTTTATATACAATTGTTTAGAGATATGTTTAGTAATAGGTATATTTTTATAATTGTGTCATTGTGAGATTCCACACGAAATAGATATATTACATTAAGATTAATTAATTGGTTAAATCTTGATCAATATTTTGTACAACAAAATGTTATTTTCAAACCGTGTCGTTGTGGGGGACACAATTGTGTTGCGTCACATGGTCTAAAATCATTATCTTTTTCTCTTTGAATTTGTTTTAATAAAATAAAACAAAAAATAAAACAAAAAACATATAATATATTGTTTTGTTACGTGATAGCCTCAAACCATTCTTGCATAAACTTTTGGGCACAGTTTGGTAGAGTGGCAGTGCATGTCTTTTCAGTAACTAAAATGATAGTTTATTTGAGATTTAAAGTATGAACTCAGTTTGTAGCTCTAACATAAGATTTTACAAAGAAAAATATTCAAAATGTAGTACAAAATTTACCAATATTGTTATCATGAATATTGGTGACTAGCTAATTTTCCCCACCATGATGCACCTTACTAGAAGCAATTTGCTGAAGTCATTAAAATAATAGAATGAAATAATGAATTCAAAATTTATTTGAAACTAGTGAGTTTAAAGGTGCCCCACTTAATAATTGTTATAGTAGACCAATAGATTATAATAAGCTCTCTCAGGTGAAACTGTTATACAAAGGAAATGGACCAAATTATAATAAATAAATAAAATACAACGGTGAGCTATATCAGAATATTATCCCATATTTTCTTCTTTCTTTCCTCTGCTGCCCAAGTGGCCTTGCATTTAAGTGTGCCTCTTTGTACACGTAAGCTCCAGATTAATATAACATACTCGGGTTGTGCTGAAAGCCTTCAAGTAAAAGTTAAAATAAGATTACATCACTACATTCCTGGCTATTGTAGAAGTTGGTTGATGATATTTACTAGAAGAAAAATGAAATGCATGGAGAGAAATTCAAAGTTGAAACCCAGAAATCGCATTCATGACCAGCACGACATCAGTGTAATCATCATTCATGTGGGATTTCCCAGCTTTGTACTTCAAAAAAAGCCTTGTCGCGCCTATGACCTCGCTCTATGTCCATCTTGTACGGGACAGATTACTAGACACATTCCCAATAAAAAGATCATATTTACAAAGACTCGGTTAAAATGTGGTCTGATCTACAAGACCAAGCATATGTAATAATGCTTCCATTTTTTCATTGCAATGTCAAAAGACAAATGACTGTACATATACATACATTAAAGATGCTAGGTAAAAGAAAGGAGGGGAATGAGGGGGGAAAATGGACATGGATCTCTGGCAAATTTCTATTATGTACAGATTATATACAATATTTACTACTTCCTCGTGATTTACCAGAAAGGACACCACCTGAAACAAGTAGAGAAATCAGAAATTTAGAAGTCATAATGTGAAGAAGACATAAAGGTTTATAATCTATAGCAAACCAACTATTTTAAAAGCTTAAGCGGTTAGGTAATTACACATGGTTTCATATCACAATTCTAACTTGCCTTCACACACAAGAGCCTAATAATTTATAGAAAATTTCTAAGTTAAGAGACCATACCCTACATAATTTTGGCACAGATTTTCATGTGAGGAAGCTTGGATAATTAACTTTTGAACTTGCAACTTAACAGATAAAGCATGATCAACTTCCCGAGTGTCTCCAGAAATTAAGCTACTATGGTCTGCGGCATGCTGAAGGGAGTTGTTTGACACTGAAGAACAAGTTGAAAAATCCCGGCCAGTAAGCTTATTACTCATGCGAGCCATGACAACCACAGCACGCTCGTTCAGAACCTCATTGGCATCACCAAGCTGGTTAACAGCCTATATGCAAAGGTATATAAAATGAGCATCATTAATCAAAAAGCAAGCAACAAAATAATACAGTATGAAGATACCTGTAAAAGTTCCCTTTCACGGGCACCACGCTGAGGGTGGGGAAGCTCTCTATTTGGAGCAGATTCCTCAGTATTTACAACAGGAGGTGCATGATTGCTAGTAAGCATAGACATTTGTGGAACTTCATTGAAATTAAAAAGACGCCAATTTATGAGAGGATCGTGTACAAAGGCCTGAATACCGGAAAAAGAAATAATCCATTATTTATTATAAAAATTCTCAACAAGCAAACATAACATTGTGAAAAGTTAATGTTGTAATTAAAGGAAAATCTTCCTAATTAGAGAAAATATCCATAAAATCTTCCTAATTAGAAAAAATATTTGTAGGATCTTTTAGATTATTTTTTCCTTATTTCCCGTTTTTAGAATATTATATTGTTACAAATAAAGGTAAGGAAAATGTAATAGAAATGAATGATAATAATAAATTCATTCTCTTTTCAAGATGGTACCAGAGCTCCCGATTGGGAGCTGTGTTTCCGCTGCAACAATAGCCACCACCACCATTGTTTACTATCCTATCATTTATAACTATTGATTGCGTTCCAAGGGATGTTTAAGGTAAAAATTATTCCTTTGGGTCCTAGTGATCTTCCAAATGGGGTGGGTGCAAATCGGTTGGATGGTCAAAATTTCTTACAATGGAGTCCGTACATTCAAAGGATTCTCAAGGGACATTCAAGACTAGATCACATAGATTGCGAAGGGCCAAGACCAGACGACACTAGTTTTCCAATTTGAGACAATGAAGATTCACTAATTATGACTTGGATGTGACATTCCGTGATTCCTGAGATAAGTCAAATATATATGTTTCATTCTTTTGCCAAAGAAATATGGGATGATTTACAAGGTACCTTATCATTAAAAAAGGATTTTGTTGCATGCTATGACATTGAAAGCTTGATATTTATTACAAACAGAGCTCCCTTTCTATATTAGAATATCACGAAATCCTGAATGGACTTTGAATTGAATTAAATCAATACTAAACAATAAAGGTGTGTAAAATAGATGTTGTCGCACATGCTTAAGTCGTGGAAAGAGGAATAATCTTTAAATTTCTCCATGGCCTGAGTCATGAGTACGATCCAATCCGGGTACAAATCTTAGGAAGAGAAAAATTGCCAACCCTATCAAAAGTATATTTTATGGTAAGAGGAGAAGAAACTCGAAGAGTTGTCATGCTTGATGGGGAGATCTCCAACACAAGCTTTTCATGGAACGGGAGTTCACAAGAGAGCAAATGCCGGAGGAAAGTCGTTTTGAAAAAGGTAATCGTGGATACTATTGTTCATACTGTAGATGATCTAGACATACCAAAGAAACATGTTTCAAACTCCATGAAAGAAATAATGTTCTCGAACACATGATAAACAACAAAGGGTCTCCTCAAAGACGGGTATATCATACTACCTCAAAACAGGAAGCAATGGTTGAATCAATGAGTAGCCCTCTAGATCATGTACTCTGTCCATGAAAGGTAAGATTTGTCTCATTACTGTTGCTCTTGTGTCTCAAAGTATTTGAATTCTTGATTTAGGAGCAACTTATCACATGACACCTTCTCGTGTGTCCTTCAACTCATATGGTAAAACAAATATAGAACAACTTATTGCAATTGCGAATGGTCAGGATATACCTATATGTCACTCTAGGAATATAATTTTGGAATCATCTATTGTATTAAAGGATGTTTTAAGATGTTTTATATGTTCCACAATTAGTCAAGTCTTATCTCTATGCAAAAACTCAAAGGATTTAAATTGTTTAGTAACATTTTTCTCAACTTATTGTATTTTTTAGGACCTTGTCATATGGAAGAGGATTTGAACTGCTAAGGAGCAAAGTGGGTTGTATCTGTTGGACTTTGATGACCAAAGCAAAACAAATATTATGAGCCAACAAGTTACATATTGAGACGTGGGCAAATTCCCAAATATGACTACATCATAAAAGGCTTGGACATCCTTCATTCAATCTTATCAAGTTCTTATTTCCCCATTTGTTTACCAATGAGTCTATTGAGTCTTTTAATTGTGATATTTGTCAGTTGTCAAAACACCATCCATGCAAAACTAAAAAGAAATTCCATGGAAAGGAAAAAGATAGAAAGGCCTAAAGTTATAATATTCTTTGCTTTTATACAAAGAAATATATATACATTGCTTATGAACCACAAATGTATCTATGAAAGAAATCAACCAATATATTAAGGATCAAGAGACTTTGTTAACTCTTACAATTTTCCTGTATAATTCAGCCAAAATACTTATTAGCAGCCAAATCGAGAAGTGCTAAACCTCCCAATACTTATACCAAATGATGTGACAGCCAAATTAGCACCATCAAGTACTGAATTCGATTTTATTAAATAATAAAAAATAACGCAATTTTTTTAAAAGATTTTATTTCTTCACATCAAATTTGATGATATGGCAATGTTGACCAGCACTGCCACATCAGTTGGGAAAGAATGTTTCCTCAACAAATGGAATGTGTAGGGTTTCTAAACCAGAATTTACTCTCAACTTAATAATTAGTTTCAAATTTCAATGTAAAATCTGAAATCATCCCATTACACTGCTTTCATCATTCAGAAATTCATAAACTGAAGATAATCAAAGAGAGGTCAGAGGGATGTAAGCCATATATACCTCCATCATGGCCATAACACTATCTTTATTTGTTCGGAGAACTTGCATAACATTTTCACAAGTTGAGCGAAAGTTTCCCTCGATACCACTAACTTCCATGGCTTTCACAAGCATTCTTGTCAACCGAAAGGGGACCTAAATTGTGACTTAAAAGATAAGACACCGTAATAATCACCATCATCCAAAGTTACAAATGGTTAGTTTATGAGTGCACCTTCTCTGGAAACTTCTCGCGGTTCATTGA